AGTGTGCCGATGATACACTTTTAGAAGTGGCACACAAAAAGCGTCCAAAAATGCTACCGCAGTGTGCCGAAAGCACACTAGAAATGTGTCAATGGCACGCTAAAAGCATGCTAGCAGCACATAAAAAAGCATACTAGCAGCACATAAAAAGCATACTTTGGCACACTTTTTCCATGCCATTGGCACAATTTAAGTGTGCTTTTTCTAAAAGTATGCTTTTCCGGGACAGTGTGGATACTGTGAATCAAATATGCCTTAATTGTGCAAATGGACTGGACCTGGATTGCTACTGTTGCTTATAAGATGATTAGCTGGCCCAATCCGATTTTGTTCTATCTTCCTAACACAAGAATGGTCGTCAGCTATCCAATCAAGTCAAGTGAGAAAATAACGTTAACGTGGACGAACAAAATTTATTCAGTTATATGCTCTATTTATATTATGTAACGTTTAGAACGTGATAGTAATTGAAAGCTTATTGTCTGTTCCGCCTACTTTCTTAAGAGTTTTTGTTTTTGTGCCTAAGCCGTAGTTTGAGTGAGTATCCTCCACAAATGAAAGTAATTTCTAAGATTATGGTAATGCTCGATAGTTTAGTTTTAAGTTCTAGATTCAAGATTTTTCATTTTCTTTTATATTTATACGTGATCAATGAGGATTTTTATTAGTTTACTATTAACCATTGTGAGTAGAAGAAATTAACGTATAATCTGAATACCAATTTTTCAATGTATGGTTTTTTTTAGGTTTTTGTTGTTGCACATGCGATCGACAGTCCAATAGAAGAAAAAGAATTCAAAAAATTAATTAAAACGAATAAAAATGTTCTCGTCTTGTGTTCGACAAATGGTAAGTATTTTACTCGTTTTTCTCTCAAAGTGATTGAAGACAAAATGTAATTTGTTCTGACAGATCTTGAAGCAAAATCTGGCTTGCAGTTACTTAAACAGATTGAGTCAAGTATCAAAGGACGTGGCACATTATTGTATTTAAATTGCGAGTAGGTTTTTTAATAATTATGTGATGAAAGCCCATCTAATGTTTTTTTTTTTATTTCAGAAAAGGAAAAAAATTATGCAAAAAACTCAAAATTGATCCAGATAAATTTGAATTCAGATCGTACTTGTAAGTATATCGATTTTCTTCTAACTCATTTAAGTTTTTCTGGATTATTCTAGAGATGGCGAATTTCATAAGCTTTATGATCGACCATTGACAACTAAAGTGAGTAAAATTATCTAATTATTTTTGACATATTTTTAAGAACTCATTTATTTTATTTAGTCAATGATAAATTTTATACTTGATCCAAAAGGTGATATGCCATGGAGTGAAGTTGAAGAAGCCAGAAATGTTTTACATTTGAATACAGTGAAAGTTAGTCATAAAATATTCAGTAAATGATTATTATAATGCGTTCTTTTAAATATAGGATTTTCAAAAGGCATTACAATTACCAAAAAATATGCTAGTCATGTTTTATGCTCCATGGTAGTTATTTTTCATTAGAAAAATAGTCAAGTTGACATTTATTCTGTTTGTTTTGTTATCTAGGTGTGGGTATTGTACTAAATTAAAGCCAGACTATGCACAAGCGGCAAGTGAGATAACAGGACGAGGTGTTATAATGGCCGGTATGGACGTTGATAAAGCTGAAAATTATCCAATAAGACAAAAATTCAATATCACCGGATTTCCAACAATTTTATATTTTGAGTAAAATTAATTGAAAGAATGAACATTTTTTTCATTTGTTAATAATTCTTTCATTGTTAGAAAAGGTGAAATGAAATTTCCTTATGCTGGTGAAATGAACAAGAATGGTTTGATCTCATGGTTAAAAGAGTGAGTGATATAACTTGCTTCATATTAAATAACTATCCATCTATTTTTATATAGTCCTAAACCAGTTGCACCTGCTAAACAAGAAGAGGATTTATTTGCAATAGATGGCGATCGTGACGATTATATTGTTCATTTGAATGATTCAACTTTCGACGCGTTTATCAATGATAATTCTCATACATCTGTATTAGCGATGTTCTACGCACCTTGTAAGAAAAAATATTTTCGGTAACGCTCTTGCTATAATGTCTAGGATAAAAAGCTCGACACCTTTCATGATACTAACTATGCTTGAATGAATTTACTTTATATAGTTGTTAGATATAAAATCCCCGTGATCAGTCTTACTGTGGTTTATTAGTTTTTTAATAAACTTTTTTCCTTCTTATACAATTCCTTTTCGTCTCCATTTTTACCTCTAACATTTGGTATACTTGTTTCTATCGAAGAAAGAAAGGATAGTAGTTCATTTCTATGTTAAAGTAAGAGATAAAAGTGTAAAAAGGATTTTATTTGTGTAATATTGATCGATAGAATTGTTACTTTCGATTGATGCTGAAATTAATTGTTCATCCTTCTTATAATTAGCTGAATGGTGACTGTTAAATAATGAATTTCTGTTGTACTCATCTTTAAATTAATTCCAAATGTTTAAATATGCCAAATTCTTGATCGCCGATCACATACATTTATAAAAATTAACCTTTTTTTTAATTTCTATGTTTGTTCTAAGAATTATGACGGATAATATTAAAGCTAATTAGATACTAACAGTCCTAATCAATACCATATGCGGAGATTTGCTTTAGAGTTTGTTGTTTGATTTGAATAACATTTAGACATTATATGTTCACAGACAACTTTGTTGATTCTTAGCTATAAAATACATATGACAATTCTTATCATATCGAGTTATTGTCATACATAACAGTTTCGATACAGATGGTAAAATCATTATATTTATTTTCTTTTTTAGTTTTGAACAATTAACACTTCTAACTGTCGTTATACACATGTCAAATCCAGATCAAATGAAAACTTTATCTATAAATAACTGAAAACCTGAGTGGAGCATGCCATTGAATTATAAATTAAATAAATAATAACAATTTAGCCATTGTGCATTTATTTTCTCTCAGGAAAAGAACTGAAAAGAAGTTACAATTAGAAAGGAATACACGTACGAAAAGTTCATTAAAAAAACATTTACATTTTTATAACATATTAGAGAGTAAACAGAAATTCATTAATCTTAGTGACCTAGTATCATTTTGGAATCTGAGACGAACAAAATATTTTTCTTTCTTTCTTTCAAAATAAAACTTTTAAAATTATCAGATTTTTTAATTATCTTCTTTTCTAATTTAGGGTGTGGTAAGTCATATCCAATTTGAAATTATAGATCGTGAAAACTATCAATTATTGTTCTTGGAGGTCATTGCAAGGCTCTCAAACCACATTTTATTGAAGCATCGAAAAATATGATGGAACAAAATGTAAGTGACATCTCGTACTAAGTTCATATCTTCTAATTCTGTTTTTCATCATTAGATTAATGGAATATTAGTGGCTATTGACTCAACTCAATCTCCAGAGTTATCAAAACATCATAAGATCAAAGGTTTTCCAACAAGTAAGAAAATTTTTAATTAGTAAAATCAAAGCAAAATTAACATAATTCATGTCAGGAGTTAGAAACGGATAATTCTTAATCATAAAACAATATATATTTGTTTATATGATACACTTGAGGAGATACCACTATGCACACTGCATTTGTGAGCGTATTTATTTTGTCTTATATAGACACTTTTAATGACTTATGTTTTATTTGTATTTTAGTGAAGTATTTTAAGTGAGTGTTAGTTAACTTTTAGCTGCTTCTTTTTTTGATCTCATGCTTGGTTAAAAATGATTGTATGATAACACAATTTCTTCACTCATATTATAGAGTTTCTTCAGTATTTATCATGGGCATGTTATGATTTTTCTAAATTATTCGTGAAAAATTGAATGATAAACTTTCTTTAATTTGAACTCTTGTATAAAACAAATATATACTTTTAATAAGATGCACGTTAATAAGATGCTCATACAATAACATTCCTTAGAAACATGCATGATTTACTTTTCTAGTGATTTTTTGAAAAAAATTTAGAATAGAACAGTTAAACAGATATTTGAGTGAGAAAACAGTTGAGTATTAACCATCAATTTTCTGTTTTTTTGTTAACTATCGATTTAATTTGCAAAGTATAACTGATATGAAAACCAACACTACTTTATCTGCACATATATAGTACAAAAATGATTCAGTTTTTGAAAGTTGTCCTAATTGAGAGTCATTCAAGAGTGACATGTGTATTTTTTTTTTACAATTCGACAAAATGAATCAATCTATTATTTGCAGTACATCACTTAAAATTCTATTCTAATTTGTTGTCTAGAGATGGAAAATATGCGTTTGATATACAAGAACGTACAGCAGAAAAAATCGTCGATTTTATGAAAAAGTATAAAAGTACAAAGTTCGTTATTATTTTAACTTATGATAGTTGGTTGCTTTTTTAAAGTCCCAGTGAACCACCACCGCCAGAATTAGAATGGGAAGAACAAGAAACGAGTGTACTACATTTAAATGATGAAAATATGAAAAATACTTTAAAAAAGAAAAAACATGCTTTGGTTATGTTTTATGCCCCATGGTGTGGTAAGATGATATTTTCTAAACACTAGAATACCTATTCTAGCTTACTCGCACAATACTAATATATATCGCCACTGTTTGTAAAATTATCGATGTTTGTTTCAGGACACTGTAAGAATGCTAAACCTGAATTCAATAATGCTGCAGCAGTTTTCAAAGATAATACAAAAGTATTTTATGTATTAAAATTGTTGTATTAAATGTTAAACCAATTTGAATTTTTAGGTTGCATTTTGTGCCGTTGATTGTACAAAGAGTCAGAAGAATTGTGAACTATATGAAGTCAGAGGTTATCCAACAATCAATTATTTCAATTATGGAAAACTTTTGTATGCGTATAATGGTCAACGAAATGTAAGTTTTCTCGTTCTAAATGTCCATGTGATATAGTACTCTTGTATTTTATTTTCTAGGCACAAGATTTTATCAATTTTATGAATGATCCAGAAGAATATCAGAAGAAACAAAGTGCAGAGAGTGAACAAGCTAAAACAGATCCAATTGAATTTTGGCAAGAATTACCGGGATATGAACACGTTCACTTACTAAAACAGAGTACATTCCAGTCAACGCTTGATGCTTCAAAGAAAGCTATTGTGATGTTTTACGCTCCATGTAAGCTTTTGTTTGTAATTCTAATGAACAAACATAAGAAATTAGCTTTTCTTCTTAGGGTGTCACCATTGCAAAATGTCCAAGGGTGATTATGCTCAAGCAGCCCTCGAATTAGCCGATAATAAGGTGCGTGCATATGCTATTTTGTAATTTTGACCTTTAAGTAGAACCAAGAAGAGTACTATTTTAGATCGGCAAAATTTATTAGATTGAGGTTTTTGAAAAATATACTAAACAAGTATATGTTGAAATACAAAAGCTTTAATTTTGTTCGGTTAGTTAACAACTGGTTAAAAACGTAGATCATTCAAAAAAGATTCAAGATAATGAATTCTGTGTACTTTAACTCGGTGTACGAACAAATTTGCCAGATGATGATCTTCATGTTTGTCGAAATTGTATTTTTAATTTAAAACTTTTAAAAGCTACTATGTAAAAATAATTCAACTAGGCTGTTTACATTTTTATCCTGATAGTGTATACTAACGCTGTTCAGTTGGAAATATTATTGGCTGAACAGTATACTCTGTTACAGACACTAAAAAAGAGAACTAAGAATGGAATTGGTTTCATGGGTTATTTCTATATATTTGTATTCTTTATTACCAATATTTTTTATTTCATCTATTTTTTTTATCATTATTAACTCATCGATATACGCAATTTGGAATAGCAGTTACCATCGATTATATTCATTTTACATTTATGCGTTAAACTAACTACACTCACATTAGAATCAATACTAGCAGTGCACTATCACCAGAGTTTACTTAATAAATTTCAACTTAAATAATCTTTTAAATTAAATTAAATATGATAACTAACGAGGGAACCATTCCAACCGTCTCTTTCTCGCCTTCGTCTCTAATGATGTTAGGCCTGTCGACAGAGAATAGAGTTCTAAGTAAAGGCATAAAAGAATGTGTGTGCACATACGATTTTTCTTTCAAAAGTTATGTATAGTTTTTGTTTGCTTATAGAAGAAATCTCAGTAACATTGAAGTTCTCGCAACTTGTTAAAAACAAGAAGATAAGGGCTGAAATTTCCTTCATAACTAGACTAGTCATCTACTCATATCACACAATATTCTGGTCGACGAGATCGTTCTCTTCTTTCTCCCACATAGAGGCCTCCTACTGTTGAAAGACTTTTTGTTTTAACTTTTTTCGCAAACCATTCATGTGATAAAGTTAATTTCTAGGCGATAGTTTTTCCTTCTCGAATAACTCGTTAGAGAGAATTCAAATATAAAAACGCCTGCCGTCGACTCTCCTAATGAGTAATGAGTCATAGGAAATGAAAAGATTGCGTTGGAAAACAAGGTTTTCCTTAACGAAATAAGATTGCATTGCTCATTGCGTAGAATTTAGTTTTTACCAAGATGCGAGAACGTTAGCGTTACTGAGACTTCTTCTATAGCAAAAAAAACTATACATAACTTTTGAAAGAAAAATCATATGAGTATAGATCTTTTTACGCCTTTATTTAGAACACTATTCTCTGTCGACAGGCCTAATATCATTGAAGAGATGAAGGCGGGCACTTGAAACTGTTCCCTCTTAAACGTTAAAACGTATTTTATGTTTTCCAATATAGTCTAAACTAAATGATATAGCTGAAAATACTGTATTAGTCTCGAAATTGAGAAAACATAACACAACATATCTTACGCAAGTGTTCCTTCTCCATTACGTAGTGTATAAATTCGAGCGGTAACTTCTTCACCAAAAACCACATTGTCTTTAAATTTTTCCATGTCTTCTAGCGCTATGGTAACGATAAACTCTTCTTTTATCTGTTGCAAATATTTATGTGTTTCTGTTATGTTTTCTGTACTTAAAATTCTGTATTTTATTTCTAGGCCATTGTATTGGGTGCAGTTGATGCTACATCGGAACAAGCATTAGCTGCTCAATTTAATGTCCAAGGTTTTCCAGCATGTAAGTAACATTTGTTTTTATGGAGTTTAGGTTTTAATTTATGAATTCGAGAGCATAAGAAAGGCGATGTTTGATGTCTCATATTATTTTAAACTTCATTGGGATCATTAAAAACTGAAAATACAGTGAGTTGATTTTACTTGAAAATTCCATCGTAATTTCAAGTCTTTATTGACTGTAGCTCCTAATAGTCCCTCAGTTCTCGTGTGTATAAAAAGAAAATATATTCTAGTAATCTTTATTTTGTTTTTTTCTACTTTAGTCAAATATTTTGAGTAAGTACATGTTAGTTTCAAAATATTAGTGAAATGCTAATCTATTTGTTTCATAGAAATGGTCAATTAAAATCAGATTATGAAGGTGGACGAAAACGAGAAGATTTTATTCAATTTCTAACGTAAATATACTATTGATTAGTCTCTTTCTAACAACTATTAAATATTTATTTTGCTTTTTTTGTTCTAGTCAAAATTCTGATTTAAATGTAAAATCAGAATTGTGATTAATTACTTCAACATGGTTCTTTTCAGATTTACATTAGCACATCCTTTTTATGTGTTTTGGTTTTTTAGACGGTTTATAAATTATATTCATTGTTTTTTCATTTGAACAGATATTATGCTAACTATCCGCCAAATTATAAAACAGAGTAATGATCTTTATAATTGTTATTTAGTTGTAGATTTTAGCATAATTATACTACATCTATTGTGTACTCTTTCAAAAAGATGGTTGCATTTTTTATTGTTATTGTTACTTTTGTTTTTGTTATGGATTCTGTTAACTTTTTTTCTAGTGCATTCTTTTGATGAACAGTTATATTTATCTTATATGGGCCTAGTTTAGAAAACTTGTACTAAGTCTATTTTAGTACAAGTTTTTTTTTTTACATTTTCGCACAAGTGAAAATAAAAAAAGACGTTTGATATAAAAAACCTTTTTTAATTTTTGGAAAGTAATGATCATATTGTCATTGAGCCTGTATTTTGTTGACTAAAATTAATGGCATCTGTGTGATTAAACATGCCTTACACAGCTAGTCGTGGCGCCGTTAGGATTCTTAGACTTTTGAGTCGTTCTCTATAAAGTTGAAAAAATGGGTCATCCTACCATTCTGTTCTTTGACAGCAAATTTGTTCGACTGATACATTGAAGCAGAGCTGGGTGAGTCTGAGTCATGACTTGGACTAGAGTTACATTCGTTTAAAGACTGATTCGAAAATTGGATGACTTTGACTCGAGGCATTCATTCAAAAAACTTTTCAGTTGCTCTTATAAAAAAATGACAGTTTATAAGATTAAATTTTCACTTGTTCATAACTTTCGTCCTAATTGAATATATTGCATCAGAACGATTTTTTGTGCATAAAAACTAGGAACTAGATATCGTGTCATAAAAAAATTGTTGTAAACGTTATTTATAAAAACAAAAAAATGGCAAAAATAACTTGTCGTAGACTCGACTCGAAAAGTGACTTGACTCGCCCAGCCCTGCATTCAAGTATTAGATAAGCTCATGCTGCTTTAGCCTGAATTTATAACTTATCTTTTATCACATCTCTTTTTCTGAAAAAAACTCTGTTGTTCAAAATTGATAGACGAAGAAAAAGCTTCATTTCGATGCACTCAAAAAAAAAACTGTTATTGGGTTATGATTCAATGCATTTTTCCGTAGTTGCGCCATTGGTTCTTAGTCCCGCTATAACTTTCACTACCATTGAGGCTATATTCTCTCGACTGTATAACAGGCTGTATATAAATGAATTGTGATAGATTGTTAGCATTAGCATATGAAAATTCAAAAAATATTGTGAAATGAACCTACTTGTCTGTTCTTTTTCCCAGTTAGTCTAATTAAAAATATCAAGATGTTTTATCTATTTCAGATTTACTTCTATAGTTTGTATATTAATTATTATTTTGTAGAATAAGTTGTTGAAAAACAAATCATTAATCAACGATGGTTTATGTTGACAATGATGGTAAGTAATTTTATTTATATTTTTTCATATAAGAAGAAACTAATGATTCAAAGAGAAAGATCATATGAATTATGGGTACAAAACATCTACGACCATTCGTTTTAACATTGTAGTTGTTATGTACATAATATAAAATAAGTCTGACACTCCCTCATTTCTTCTGTGTGAAGAAAAAATATAACACGATTGTCTAAATAGTTGTAAATCAAGAAATGTGGCAAATGTTTAATTATTTATTAAAGGATTTAGAATCAATTATACGTTTAGGGTAACATCTTCTAAAAGCGTCATACTATCAATATAAATGTATAATACACATCAATCTTTTTGTCTATATGCTCAATTTTGAAATTTACACATAGATCAAAATTCTATTTTCTTTTCGCACTTTTATTCGAAAAATGGACACGATTGTCAGTTTAATGTTGAGAAAAAGAAGAATCAAGAATTAGATAAATCTAAAGCTAATTGATCTTATGATCCAGTATTTTAGTCAAGAGTTTGTCACATGATAACACAGATAACAGATTGAAGTTATAGACAATGTTGACACCCTTAGATATTCCAAAAGCGGGATAAAAAAAACAAAAAGCAATTTTTTTCGCGTCCCGCCGCGTGTGTAAAAGAGGAAACTATTAGCCTCAATAGTAGATACATTTTCAAATCAGTATATTCAAGAGGATTGGTGCTTCACTTTATAGATGAAATAAAAAAGAAACTTTATTAGAATTGCATTTAGTCAAGAAAAAGAATGAAAAAAGCGGAAAAGCTGACAATCGTTCTGGTTGTGTATCATTTCATTGATTCCGTTGTTTATCAGCATCTATCGATGATACTTGATATAATTTATTGTCAATTGGTTCTAAATCAGATCTCTAGTTGTTGAACTACACTGTTGTGATGAATATGTAATACTGAGAAAAATGCATTGATGGCAAAAATCCAAATTGAATTTTGTTTTTTAGGTACAGTACGAGAGGGTGATCGATCTCTTTGGACACCTAGTGGTTTTATTAACTTATTTTGGAGCTTTCTGACTTTTATAATTCTTTTGTGAGTATTCATTCTCTTGCCAAACTTTTTAAAGTTTCTACAATGATGTGTGTTCTTTAATTTTAGTTTTCGATCTTTATTTGATGTAAGTAGACATTTAATGAAAAAAGTATTTTTTCAAACATGAAATTTTTCTATTTTTCTAGCCTACTATAACCAAATATGGACGAAATGTTGAAACAAATTATCGAACTGGAAATGGCCGAGGCGGTGGTGGTGGTGGTGGTCGAGGAGAAAGGTAAAGGATTGTTTCCGTTCAAAATCAAAAATTGTATTGTTCAATGAAGTGCATGTATAGAAGAAGAAAGCAAAGTAGTTTACTTATCTATAAAAAAGCGAAATAAATCATTTGTTAATCATGCTAAAAAAAAAGAGAGCAATAAACAATAAGGAAAAAAAAAGAGAATGACAGGAAAAAGACAAAATGTAACAAAGCAAAAACTTAATCAACTGTACCACTGAAGGAAATTGATGATGATGTTTGATGCATGACGAATAATTCTATTCAAAGAGCAAGCACATTTGTTTTTATCGCTAGATAAAAAAAAAGAAAGAAGAAAGGAATGAGAGGAATGAAGTGAAATATTATACTAAATGAATATTACCTTTTCAAGAAACATTAACCAGAAGAATTAGAAATATGACATGCGAGGATTATGCACACTATTGTGAGCCTTAATAAGATGATGAAAGATGTACTATTTCCTTTCTAGACCCCCAGATGCCAGACCAAGACGAAGATATAATGGATTTGGTAGTGGAGGATCAGGTATTTTAATTGAATAAAAAGAAAATTGTTATCTATGATCTTATTTGTCTTCGTATTTTATAGGTCCTGGCTGTTCTCCTATGGCAGGTGGATGAGGTTAATGAACGATTTCCAAAACTTATTTTTGGAAATCATTTTTTTTGTTTTACTAAGTCCATTAGCTTGACTTAATTAAAATGAACAAATTATTTTTCTTGTTTTTCTGTTGTTATTGTTCATTTTATTAATCAATGGCTCATGGCACATATTCAAATAGAACATGTTTTTACTTTATAATTAATAATTGAAAATGAGATTTTTATACTTAAATCTTGTCTAAGACGTATAAAAATTGATTGTATTATAAGTAAATATGATATGTTTGAATATGTTCACTATATTTTTTTTTGTTTGCTATTTTAAGTAATTTATCGATGATATATGCTAATTTTTATTGTACAAAATTTTTAACATACTAGTCGTGGTTTAGGGAACAAAATAAACTATATAGTTTACACAAATCTCATTTGAGTATATTTTATTGTGTATTCTTTATGCATTTTCTTGAATTAATGTACATTGTATTTTTTATAAAAAACTCATTAAGATAATAAACGATTGGGTATTTAATAAAAAAGATAACAACAAAAAAACAAAGTCATTTCTGATAAAGTTTTTGCCTCTTCTGAGATTTTAAGTCAATAGAAACACTGCTAGTTATGGTTTGTCATTAAAATCAGTTCAAATCTCATCTCTATTTGCTATGAGATTGTCAACTCAAATCGATAAAACTATAAGAAACATCATATCATAGCCATCGTTGCATCATAAAAAAAAGTTTGACTGTTAGAGTTTTTGCACTTTTTTGATTTATTCATGCATTCATAGTCAATGTTCACGAAAGAGCGAATAAAATTTGATTTTATTTCGCTTGATTAGCATACCTTCTATGATTCTATTTTTCATTCAATTACTCTGATAAAATGGAAGACTAATTTTTTATTTCCTGTATATATGTGAATGTTGTAGTTTTTTTTTTTCTTCTCATGTTGAGAACTCAACAAAACTCGTCATTGTTTAGTCATAATTCAACTGTTATATTCCATTAAAAGAAGAGTTTAAAAGATAACTATTTATATCATCTATATTGTGAAATATAAAGGAAGTTTTTTAGTTGAGTGTAACAACGTTACTATTCTCTCCTGTTTTCGTATCTTGCTGTGAAAAAACAATAAATGCCATATTTTTCTTCTCAATATGATGATTTTAATGATTTAAATTCTTTGATACAAGATGAAAGCCATATTATAGACATTAAAATATTTTATCAATATTTACACACACAAACACAAATACACTAATGAGTTTTAACTTGTTCAATGTGGAAAAACTATATAAAATAATTAAAAAAATATGTCATTTCAAAGAATAGACATCAAATCATACGATTGTCAATAAGATATTGAACTATCATTGGTCATTGTTGACTTTTCAGTAAATCTAGATCCAATTGAGTGAAAATTTAAAAACAAATTGTAAATTTTTCTATTCAAAAAATCTGCATATTGATAGTATGAATACATTCTCATATGTAGAAATAAATAACATCATTGCATTTTAAAGTTAATTAAAAGGAATCATATGTATTTAAAGAAAATGGAATTATCATCTTTTTTAGTCAAGGATAGATTCTCATTTTTGCAATAGGATAAGAAAAATGTCTGGTGGCGTCTTTCAATTCATCCTTTATCGGTTTCAAGACATTTTAAATATATATATATATAAACTCGCGTAAACAGATCGTTGTTATTCTTCCGTTATACATATCTATATATATAAACAACTGTCATTTTACTTTCGAATTTTCTAAAAATAAATTTGAGATTTTTTTACAAATGCGATAAAATAGTTTTTGTTTCTTTTGCTTGTTATGTACAATTGTTTGATTTGCTAAATTTGAGAGAAATGAAAAGGTCTTTAATGTTTGTATACTCTTTTTATCATTTTTTATATTATGAAAAAATAAAATGAAAATAACTTTTCATTTACTTAAGAGTGAACGAAACTTTGTTCATTTATATAATTATCATTTAAAAACAAAGAACGATGTTTTCATTATCCATTTTCTTTTGATTTTACTCTTCAACATAGAGATCTATAACAAATGAACTTGTCTACGGATGTCTACAGACATAAATCATTTTTTTAGGACAAAAAAATTGTTCATACAGATTTCTACTTCAACAATCCTTCTGGTGGTTTTTTTTTAGACAATTGCTATTTTTTACGTAGACATGAAACTCGCTAGTTAGTTTTGAACGAAATTTATAATTTTTAAATAGTTCATGAGAAGTATTTACTCAAAACAACTGTGTCCCATTGTTTCTTAGTTGGAAGGATCCTTTTACCTGTTAGATAGCGAGTGAATTGAGCGCAGAAAAGACAGTGACCTATAATTTAGCTTATTGTCTTCTAGCTCTTCTGACGGAGATATATTAAATTTGGAGATCGTTTATTACTTGATTCAGGTACAATCGAAGAAAGAAAAATTAACTTTAAAAATATTTATCGCAGAATGATACTGAACAGATAAAATATTTAGTAAATCAGTTAAAATATAACTGTTAATTTGTTCACTCCCATGAGTGCTACCCACTCGTGTTGTCCATACATTGTATTTTTTATTGTTATGTCGTTTCAGTCTCCGTCTCGACGGAAAAAAATATATATCTAATATAATCTACTATCTATATGTCCAACTATATGTGAGTGGGTGCAATAAATGATGTCTTTTCCCACAGAATTTAAACATAGATCAAAATAAGAGGCAAAATGCATCCTAAAAATGAAGAACAAACTAAAAGAGATTAAATAACATATAGAAGAAGAAAAACTTAGGATGATGATGTGGAATGTGGAACTTGTATACACAACTTGGCCTATCTTTGCTTTAGGTTGAATCAATTTACATCCTATATCTTGTAAGTATTATTACTATTTTTTTTTCTGCGCGTTTCTGCGTATTTTTCTTTTCATCCTTCGATTTTTTTCAATGGATTTCCAGAATGCGAACACCACAACTCTTTCTCTCTCTCTCTCTCTCTGTTTCTTCTTCTCTAATAAACCCTATTCTTTTTATTTACACCAAACATCCTAAACTCTCAACTAACAGGGGAAACACATTTGTCAAAATATGGACTGTTCTTTTTTTTTCTTCTTATGCTGTGTTCTTCTTCCTCATTTATATATTATATTTTGGTTTGAGGAAAAAAACTCAAAAGAATCTCCCAGATTCAAAATATATTTCTTTCATTCCTCTAACGAACGTTCGTATTCTTTCTCAAGCACGAACCTCTCTATAAGGGAATGAAGTGAAGACGAACGTAGAGTACAACACAACAACAAATGTGTGTTGTATATGTGTGTGTGTGTACATGCAAAGAACGAATGGAGAAGAGAAGAAGAATAGATATCTCTTAGAACATGTATGAAACATTTTGACTATAACTGTGTATGTGAGTGTGTGTGCACCATACAATAGGTCAATAATAATAAAAATATAGCTATGGAACAAAAGAAGAGGAAAACGCGAATGGAATCTATCTTTCTGCTGCATCTATATATATAAAAATATATATAAAACCCGATTTGACGATGGAATGAATGAAGAATACATCAATAGTCATTTTATTTTATTTTATTTTGGACGATGACGAATACAATGAATGTGCATGTAAGCACGAGCTTCAAAACGTAAATATTTTTTATCAATATTTTTATGTGGTCATTTTTAGTTATAATTAAATTCGGGTAAGTATCAGAATATTATAACTATTTCCAACTTCGAAACATGTTTCGCTTATTACGAATACAAACATCCTTTATTTTGTTTAAGTAATATCGTTTTTTTTTTGAACATTCAGTCATAGCATAGTTATATTGTATCGATAGTACTAATAGGCTCTTTTTGTATAAGTTTTACTACCATCCTACATTTAACGAATAGTTTGTGAAATATTTTCAAAAAAAAACTTTTTCCTTACTCGACATTACATTCTAAAGCCGATGTAAAAAAATGAAAACTACCATTATATATAGAACATCACTGTATTGTATTGCCACCGAAATTTATCATAAAATAAAATTTCACTTAAGAAAATAATACAACAATAAAAATTTCGGTGCACCGTCTTCTATTATTCAATAGAATAAAACTTAGGAATGCAAGTCCAACTTAATTCTAAGATAAAGTTTATCAGAGATCATTTAAAGATTTATTTATATTTGTGTTCAAGAAGTTTAATCATCTTAACACTGTGGTTTCGTTTTCCTATTTGAACTTTGTAGCTTTAATTCTTATTCATATCAGTCAACTGTATCGAATGATCTTTATATAATGTTGTTCAGATATGCATTAGATACGTTATTCAAATTTAATATTATCAATAGTACCATATAGGATAATATTTTCACAAGTGCATATATAGTAAGTGAAGCCAATGAATAAGAAGCAAAAACCGAGATGTAGTACATGACCTAAACGGTTGTATTACATAAAGAGAGATAAGGAGAGACATTAAGGTGTGAATAGTAAATGAAGGTAGAGAAAACCGTTTTTTTGAACTGGAAAAGGTGCGTATCTGTATATCCTCGAGCTAACAAAATAAATGATAAAATTATAAAAGATCCCAATGAAATTGCACAGTGGATTCCGTATACAAAAATCAAACTTTACGGGATCAAAATTATTACCCTCCCAAAATAAATATGTAATTATTGAATTAGGACGAAATATAAAACAGTATGAACAAGGTATTCGTTTGATTTATAAATAGCGCAATGTTGCAAGTTCAATGCGTTGATCAGTCACGTTTGATATGTATTTTTCTTTGATATAAATATTTTTTATGATTAATGAGATTTTCTCTTTATTCTTCACTGTCGTGATCAATTTAGATGTTGTTTTGTTGAACAATTATGCTACAGACAGAGTTATTTTCCTTCTGTCGTTTCATTTTCTTTTCGTTACACTTTAAAGCAAAGAGGAAAATTCTACTTTGTTATTCAAAACATCAATGACTAGCACACAACACATAAGTGTACAATAAAGATGATT